ACCCCCGTTCATGCTCTGTCTCTCTGTGTCTCAAAAATAAATAAGACGTTAAAAAAATTAATAAAATAGAATCTGAGCACATAATTCTAATGACTTTTTTTTTCCGTTTACATATGGTATTTCTTTTTCAGAGACAACTTTAGAAAAGAGATGCTATAGTTAGAATGATAAAAATCTTTAAAATATAGGACAAAATATCTATGATGAAAATCTAAGCTTTGTCTTTAATATAACACTCATACTAGACTAAGATGCAAGAGAAATCAAGGATTTACCTACAAACAAAGGATAAATATAGAATAAAGTATAAAGTTTTCTCATTTTTATTGGATGTTTTAATTCTATAATCCTTAGATGATGGGTTTTCCTACTGATATTCATACTGATACAGGGTTTTTAGCTTTAAGGATAACTCTGTTTAGAATAAATGTATACTCTTCCCCAACAGGTTTATGAAAGGCTGTGGAAGACAGGGAATTAACAGAATAATTTAATATTTACTGTTTTAGTGACTGAGGAAAAAAAAATCACATTTAAACAATCAGACCCATACTGAATCTGTTTTGTACTACAGCTTTTTAACAATTATTTATGTCGCTGTGATATGAAGAACTTAAAAGAACTACTAGTCTCAAGGCTCAAAACAAAGCCACAGGAGGCATAATGTTGACAAGTCAGGTGGTGACAAGGTCATGATGATTTCTTTTAGAATTTCTGGGATTACTTTATCCCACATAGGTGAAATATTTAAAATTTTGCATTATCTTGTTGCTCCCCCTAACAATTTCAAGTACTATAAGGCTGAAATGACACAATTTAAGGACAAGCTATAAATAAGAACAAACAGCATCAAAACCTCAAGGGCAACTTGTGTTAACCAAGGCGTTTACTCTAAAGGATTCAATGGGAGGCTCATTTTCCTAAAGAGAGGTCTTTACCTGGGATTATGGTGGTATGTTTACAAAGTGTATCATTTTCAGAGTATGCTGGATATTACAAATTATAACAAAGTTCACATTTTCTTTTCTTTTTTTACAAAATACTTGAATTCCTAAACCTTAAAAACATTAGTTGCTTAGGTAAAATAGAAGGTACATCTTTCCGAAGGAAAAGAAATTGACCTATATTTTATAAACTGTGGAGACTATACAGATGCACACACACCACCACCACCACCACCACCAACAACAAAAACCTACCTAATTTGTCAGGACATCAAATTGTACAAAGACATATATTAAAGTATTTTATTTTATTATTTCTTAATATTTATTTAGAAAGGCAGACAGAGCATGAGCGGGGGAGGGCTAGAGAGAGACGGAGACACAGAATCCGAAGCTGGCTCCAGCCTCCAAGCTGCCATCACAGAGCCCAACACGGGGCTCAAAACCCAGAAACCGCAAGATCATGACCTGAGCCAAAGTCAGATGCCCAACCGAGCCATCCAGGTGCCCCTATATTTGAGTATTTTAAATGCACATGGCCAATACTGGAAAGGAAAACACAAAAATAGAAAAATAGCATTGTGCTCATATGTCAATTTTATGGCTGATTTAAAAACCAGCTTTTGGCGTGTTTACTTATGAAAGCTTAATTTTCAGAAACAGCTTTTAATTAATAAATATTTATTCAGAATCAGGTCCATTAACTTAATTTCTGTTAAGAAATTTAGTAAAATCAATGGTTACATTCCAAAAAGATAAATGAAAGCATAACATTTTGGTTAAATAAATATCTTGGTATCTTTGTTCAAATCAGAAAGACCTGCAGGCAAAGCATGGATACGCTTAAAAAAAAAAAACAAAAAACCTGTAATATCCCCTTCAAAGCATGGACAAACATGGGCAAGTGCTTGTTTTGTCAAACCGAGAAATATCTTAGTTGTTATGGGAGACAAATTGCTAAATCTGTATCACAATATTTATTTTTTAAATAACTTCACACAGTCTATTTTAAGGTTTCAAACTGGCAGGGAATAATTGTGACAAATATGTATTCTTTGTAATTTTTCTCTATATGTATGACCCTTAGCCCAGCCATTTAAAAATAAATATATACTGTTAAATAAAGGGGAACATAATTTTTACTTATTAAAGTATGTTTGCTTTTTATTACCGTGTCTTCAGCCTCTCTTACTGCATCTGCACCATTCATGCATTAGGCATTGTCTCTCTCTCTCAGGACCTATTGTATTGTTCAATGTCAGCACAGAAGGCAACCAAGAACATTCACCTTCATAAGTTCTAACGGTTAATGGCATTTATCCAATAATTTTCTCTTCCAAGTACACTAGTTGGATATATACATCTCTTGGGGTAATATAATCTAATATGAATATGTGTAAAATCGCTTCCAAAATGTTTGAGTTAGTTTATTAAGAAATAAAACTGGTTTCCATTTGATATCTACTTAACTTTAAATTATGATAATTTTACATTAACATCAAATATTCTAATAATACTTGTCCAGATTGCCCAAATCTCAGTAGTGGCGATACTGTCAACATTTCAAGGTTTGCTTCCACCAGGAGCCAAGTGCCTTTTGGCAACCCTGCCTGTGATTTCCCTGTCTCCCTCTCACCAGCCACAGTTAGGCATAAGTACAAGATAGATATGTGAGTTCTCTTTATAAGGTACAAAACGATGATGGAAAAAATACTCACCCTATAATCTTATGTCTTGTATATATTGCCACATAATAAAAATACAAACAGTGGTTCCAGAAATTGGAAATTGAAAGAGCTAAAAATGCTTTATAATATTTTAATAAGCTGAGTCATCAGCTAATGATAACAATAAAAGATAGAGCAATTCACTATAGTCACTGATAAAGTACCATCAGTTAATAAAGTATAGAATGATTTTAATTATAATCATATGACCAATAAATGTTCCTCATAAAGATTAATAACTAAATTTATACTAATTGTATCTACCTAATCTTTAATAGCTTTCTGAAATGGTACATGAATATAAGATACCTATGACAGAATAGCAAATATCTATAGCAAATTTGGATAGTTTCTCTTTTTTCTTATAAAAATGAATGCTATATTATGAAACAGTGTTTGCATTTGACATGTTCCAATATATTTCAACCACTATAGGTTAGGCAGATAGCAAGATATCTGAATAACTAATTGCCATGTAAGAGATTTTTTATTTTAAATACTTTTATTCAAGCCTGAAAATCTAGTATTTGCCCTATCTTTGAAATTAGGCAGTTCTGAGCACATAGAAGACAGCACACAGAGAGCCTGAGACAACATTTTAATCATGTACATTTGCCACACTCAATCTTTTTGTGAAGGACCCCGTCTGTAGGTAATTTTCCCCTCTTCTGAGATTTAAACCTATTTCTTCTTGCTCTGTCCTCAGTGGGAACTGAAAATAACTGGTCACTGTCGTCTGTATAACCAACTCTCACAGAGTGAAAGGTCCCTTCTCAATGTGTCCTGTTCTTTAAACTAAACAATTTTAGTAAATTTAGCCTCTCCACACAGATCTTACTTTTCAGATTTTTTTTGAAAAGGTAAGAATCCACTCAAAGTTCTCATTACAAAGTCTCCCCTCTTCTACTAGAAAAGCCTAAAAACTTCTTTGTTTTGCATACAAGGCTCTTTGAGAGCTGTCCCTTGCCTACCTTTCTAATATGTCCCCTGCTGCTTTTTGAGGCATGCCCATCTCTTTGTTCTGATTACAAATGCATGAACATACCATTTGACGTCATACCGTAATGCTTTTCCACATATTGTTCTCTCTAGATGCCCCGTCCTTCTCCCTTCTTTTTTATGGCAGGTGAATACCTACTCATATTTCAAGACTATTCAACTATCAACTTCTGTTTGAAGACTTTTCTATCTTAGGAATAATTAATGCCTTTTTTTGGAGCCATTTTCCTTCACTATAAACATTTTAACACAC